CCCCCCCCCCCCCCCCCAGGTCACCCACAGGGAAAAGAGACAGGGTGGTGGAGGGATTTGCCCAAGGTCACTCAGGGCATCCGTGGCAGAGCCAGGGATCAAACCGCCCTAGGGCCTGGACCACCGGGGAGGTTTCTGATCCCCTGCCGCTCTGGCCCGGGGGCACAGATGGGAACTCAGCGTGATACGGCTGTGGCGGTGTATCGGAGAGCCTTTCCCAGAGCCTTGCTCAGCCCACCCCTCCCTCCGCTGGCTGAACCCCGGGGCATCACAGACGAGTGCCTCGCTCCCGCCCTTCCCAGGCCAGACACCCCTGCCCAGAGCATCCAAGGACTCACCTGGGTGCTCCCCGCCAAGAGCTGTTGCCTCCGCAGATACAGCTCCCTCCCCACCTCCTCGCCTCACTGCCCAGGTCCCAGCCCACCAGTGGGCTCCTCCTCCACCCCACCCCACCCCACCCCACCCGTCCCTAACGAAGGCTTCCCGTCCTCATTAAAAACGCCCTTGACAGGTCAGCCAAAACCGCCCTGGCTGGAGTCGGCAGGAGCAGAAAGGCAGGGCTCCTTGCAGCCACACGCATCCTGGCACGAGCCCAGGGAGACGCCTCGGGAGCCTACAGATCATTGCCCCCAAATTGGCCCTGGGGGGGTTTCCTCTGGTGTAATTAGCACCGTCGTCCTGGACCCTGCTCCAGCCCCAAATGATGCAAGACAAGCCGTGGAGCCTGGGCCAGAGCCGGGGGCAGTTCAGGCTCTGGGGGGCATTTGCCCCTTGACCTCTCTGCCAGCAAAAGAGCCAGGGTGGGGGACAAGGGTAGAGCAGGATTTGACCCATGTCTGAGGCTGGGTTCCCAAAACCTGCGACCCCCCAGAATCAGTGTCTCTCTCTCAATGTATTGGTCTGAACCTCCTTGTGCCTCAGTTTCCCCCACCCCCTGAGCAATGAGATGAAAGCTAATCCCCCGCTCCTGAGGTCATTGCACAGAGAAAGGACTGGGCGGAGGGTCGTACACCTGGCTTGTACCTCCAGGAGAGAGTGAAGCTGGCTGGCTGCCCCATCTGTGCCAACGTCATGCGCGTGTCCAGCCCCGGGTCCAGGACAGGTAGACCAGGACTCTGGCTCTACATGTACCCCTGCCCCTGAGCACAGCCGGGAGTTGCTTTCTGTGCAGACAGTGCCCGGAGATCTCTGTGCGGGGAACTGCACCTTGAAGAGGCACCGCTTGGAGCCAGCTGGTGCATGGTGCAGACCAGGAGCGCACGGGGGCTGAACGAAGCAGGGCTGTCGGCCTCATGCTAGGCAGAGCTTTGGGATCCCGTGTCCTGCCGGGTGCAGGAGATGCTCTCTCGTCTCAAGTATGCTGGGGTAACAGGGTGGGCTTGGGTGCGGTTGGCCCTGATTCGTGGTGGTGGATGCAGACTCAGACTCAATCCCCCAATCTGTCCTGTCTGTACAAGGCTCCCAACCTCCCTGGGCTCCGGGGCACTAGGCTAATATAACATACACAACACTGCATGCCATTTGTCCCCTCTTATTACACAACAGTCCCCCCAGTGCCTTGGAGGATGGATCTGAAACCATCCAGCCCCCCAGCCAGCTTATAGGGGCTGCCAAGCATAGCGTGAATGCCTTCGCTTCCTCAGCTCCTGAGATGCACCCTGCGCTCCCGGGCAGCCAGCGAGAGGACACGGCTCTCCAGAGGGGATCGGGTTCACCCCACAAGGGCGCTGGCACCCCTGCTTCTCCGTTGGGACCCAGGAGGGTTCGGGGGCTGTGGGTTTTGTTTTAGGCTTGGGAGTGAAATGAAACCCAGATGCCATACCCGTCAGCCTCACACCAGGGCTAGTCCTAATGCCCCATCTTCCCCTCACCGGGGACCTTTCAGCCAGTTTGGTTTGAATTTTAAGTGTCTGATGGCTGTCCTAGTTTCAGCTGCCAGGGATAGCTCTGTCTGAACCAGAAGCTTGGACCCAAACCTGTTTGCAGCAGGGATCCATAACGGGCTGACCTAAGAGCTCTCCTTCACCCTGGACCCTGCAGGGTTAGAGGACTTAGGAGCCTGCATCCCTTGCAAGGATGACACAGGGCCTGGGTGTATCTAACTGTGCAAACCGGCCGCTAGCGGGATCTCCAAAAGCACGTAAGCAGGTTTGTTTATGCCCAAAAGCTTGCAAAGAGCAATTTTTCCAACTTTTTAGTTGGTCTAATAAAAGAGATCCCATGTACCCAAAGAACTTGTCTGCTTATGTCCTTAGACCAGCATGGCTACAACCAACAGCCCATAAGCAGGTGCCTCACTCTCCTAAGGACCTTTGCAGATCTGGCCTTTGGAGCCCAAGTCCTTGTGCCTAAATAGATTTTGGCTCCAAAATCACTGAGGCTTTTTAGGAACTACTACCCTAGAGGTGACCGCAGCATTTGAGAGGACTTGCATTGATCCGCAAGCGCTGAGTTGCATCCTCAGTGCCCCTGGCTTTCTTCTCTGCTCTGACCTGAGGGCAGATACGGGGCTGGCCCGGGTCAAAGCAGCTGTTTGCTCGAGGCCTGCGTGCCCAGGAGAGGAAGGGAGGCAGGAGGCAGCGCCGGGGCTCTGGCTGCACCTGATTGAGGCGAGAGGCAGCGAGAAGCTGTGACTCAGGCCCTCGCTGCAGTTACTCAGCATCCGCATTTAGATGTCCCGGCCTCCCTCCCTCCCTCCCTTCTACAGCTATTCGGAGCTGAGCCCAGAGCCCGGCCTCAGTTCCCACACTTCCTCGCTTGGCCTTGGCCGTGAAATGCCTGCAGTCCTGGCTCATCGCTCCCGGCACGCAGCGGACGTGCATTCCAGACGGCCAACAGGCCCGGGCGGTTCAG